AAAATATAGACTAAAGTTACCAGTGCAGCCAGGTTCCATTCACAGCTGTGGAAAAATGCACACTGAAGATCTTGCTCTGCCATACAGTGTTCCTTTTGAAGGGAACTTCATATTCCTTCTCCAGTCAGTGCAAGGGGTTTTGGTCTCAGCAATACTCCAGTATCCAGGAAAGGGCATTTAGCCAACCAGACTGAAGCAAAGGTAAATAAGAATTTAAACTATAACGTTGTGATCTATGTATGAACTTGCTTTAATTTCTAAATTCTATAGTATGTTTTAAGAACTAACTTGTTAAAGTGGTACTGCAGGTTTTCTAGTCTGTACAAGTTCTTGGACTATAGGTTCATTACACTATAGTTCCTTAAAATCTTTCAGTAGTCATTGAGCAATCTGACTAATTCTTATAATATGATCTCAACCTCTCTCCTGGGGAGAGCTGTGGGCAGTAAAATGTTGTTTTGACAGATTTTTTTTTTTGCTCCCACCCTATCCACCCCCTGTGTATTATTCATGTTGCTATCAATTTTCCTCAAACAGTAGGATCAAGAAACTAAGTCATGTACTTGGTGTGAGACAGTGAAATCTGTGATAAAGATAATTTCCAGGAGAGATTGATTCTACAGTCATTTGCAAAGACACATGTTAGAGAGGTAGGATATATGTGTTTTGGTTTGGTTTTTAAGTTTGGTTCTTTTCCTTGGGCTCACCATCAGACTAAGAATTTACTTTGTTTACTTAAAGCCTACCTTATGTTTTGAAGCATTCTTTTCATGGTTCTTCCAAGCCCCCCTCCATTTTGTTTTCGTTCTTTTTAAGCAATTCTACTGAGCTGTGAGGTTGCTAAAGAGCAACAGAAGTCACAGAATTTCTCTTTAGAAATGAGATGGTTGCCATGGCAATGCTTCCAGCTGCTTCTTGTCCCAGTTGAGAAAATAATTTTTAGACTCCTATATTACAAGGTTAAGCTATAATGTTTAAAACTAAATCATATAGCTAATTGATTTAAAATTAAGATAATCACATTGCCTTTTCAATATATTTGGACTGAAAATCTAAAATTCTTGCCTCAAATATTTGTACAGGTACCTCCCAAATAATTTTTCCTATTTGTTCAAGTACTTGAGGCAAAACTGGTGCGTTCAGATGGAAAATATTTTCAACTTACTGATTTTAGTAGATGTGGTTTTGTAGTAGAAATTATCCTGAAAGCTGACTGCTACCTAGATAGGTAGTGTTTAAAATATGACACTGAGTTTGACTCATACTTTGCAATATGACAAATCCGGATCAGATCTGAAATGCTAAATACTTTTAAAGTTTATTTTCTCTGAAGTCCAGACAGTTGATGAAGTGTTGGCTGTTTTGGCGGTCTCTTGTCAACCTCACTTGAAGCGGGATTATCACCAACATCAGTTCAGTCATATTGTGTCTAGCCAGTATTAAAAATCTACAAGTATGGAGGTACCACAACCTGTCTGGGAAGCCTATTCCCCTGTTCCCTGCTCCTGGTGAACAAGCTTTCCCAAGTGTCCAGGCTGAATCTCCAAGTCACAGGTTGTGGCCACTGGACTGTGTTGTTAAACTGTGGGATTAATCATGCTAAAAGCCTGGTGAGATTTGGGTGAATAGTGACATGCAGAGGAGCCCTAGTCAGCATAATCACTGAAAATGGAAGGGACAGACTTCTCTGCTCCTAAGGTTATCAAAGGAAAATTATTAGACCATTGTAACTCGTGTGAAACCCAAATAAAATATTCCAGAGCTCCTGGCACAGTGATGTACTGCCTACAGGGGATTTGCTATGGGATGCAGGGGAAAGGGCACTATGCAACTGTTTAAAGATTATTATGGGATTATCTAGAACTTTCTGTGAACTGTTTAGTGAAAGGACCAAAGGTTAGAAAAAGAGGGATCTATGTAGTAAGGAAGAACAAACCTGGTTTGTTTTCTTTTTTCACCAGTTTTTGCTGGCTGCTTTTCATCACCTTATCATCCCCTGGTTTTTGGGGTTTTTTTTTGTTCTCTTATTTTCTGTGTTTTGAAAGGTATCTTACTCTTCTTTACTTTGCTTAGCTTTTCTCTTTTTAAAAGATAGGCCCAATGAAATCCTCTGGGACCTCTATTACTTATAAAATGTAAATGTTTCAGAGAGGATTTTGTTAGATCGTAAGGTACATACACAATTTTATCTGTCCTTGTGACTTTGAAAATACTTAACTACTTCAGATTTTTGGAGATGTTTTTCACATAATCTGGCCTTCAGTCCTACTCCTTCATTAAAATTCATTTTATTAAGTATCTGATCACTGCTTATGAAGTGCAACAAATAAATCTGTGCCATTTGCCCTTCTCTCTCCCTCATAAAATAATGGGTTTAACTTCTTTTTACATCCAACCTATTTACAGAATATTTGTTGCATTTTTATGTCCCTTGATGTGATAAACTTCTTAATCTTAGCCTTTAATTTTATCATGATCAGTTATTGTGTTATTCCTATATAGTTACTCGTAGGATTTGTCCTTTGACTTCCCTTGCTTACACAACTTCATTTTGACTTTCAGATTTTAAAATAACTTTTTAGCCAGATCTTTTGTGGTCTTACTATGGTTCCTGTCTTTCTTCATGAGAAATAATTTGTCATTTCATCTTCACTATAATACGTTTCATTAATTGCCAGCCTGCTCAAAGAGCCTGTCTCTTTCAGACTCTTAGCAAGAGAGAAGATGGCTGCCTAAGTTTATTAGTCTGCCTTTTATTTTTTAAAATATATTGTCCTCACAATGCTGCACATACTTATCCTCAGAATCACAAATTCTACTCTTTTAAGACAGGTGTCACCTAATTGGCATTGCATGCAAGTATTCTCCAACAGTTTTCACCTGCAGTGTTCATATCTGGCAATTTTTATCACCTTTAGAATTAAAAAAAATCAGTTACCAGATGTTTCCTATCAAATTGTTTTGCAAAGCAAACTGAGTAACTTAAGTTTTTCATTACCACCAGTCCTAACTGTCACCTAACCAAACAGTTATTTTCCAGTGTCTTCCTTGTTGATGGTTTGCTTGTATTTTTTAAGTTAGATCAGTGTTTTTGTTGAAAGATACCCCTCTTTAATTCTGTTAAGTTTCTACATGCTTGGAATTTAGTCTTGGGTTCAGCAGGAAGATATGAAGAATATGTTTCTAGTATTTACTTGAGTTCTTAAAATATTTTTGTAAGAAATCTCAATAAGTTTGCTGAATATTTGAAAAGTCAAATGTTTCTAAGAGTGTAGCATTTGTTCTGTTTTACATTCAGTCAGAAAATATACTTTGGTTCATTTCCCAAATAATGGTTCATCTCACAAATACTGAATGTGTAAAAAGAGATTTAAAATTTGTATTGAAAATAGCCTTATGTGCAATGTGTTTCAGCAGTTAATAACTGCTTTCTGCATTGTCAGACAAAACACACACTTCATATGCCAATGCCAACTCATAAGTTCAAGAACAAGTGAAAGCTGTTATGAACATTTTTTTTCTTACTGATCCTATACAAAGATACCAAAGTGCATTTAGCCAAGGCTGCAAAGCAATTCAAAATCACTCAAGGCTGCAGAAGTATTTCTATAGCCTGATTTTGTTGTTTGGTGGGGCTTTGTTTGTTTGTTAATTTGTTTTCCCAAAGCAATCACTTGTGCTGTGTGCCTATGAAACTTCTTTCAGGAAAGATACTAACATACTTTGTTATGTATTTATGTGTTTTGTCATGTTAGAACTTTGTCTCTTGTACTCCTCAGTATACTGAACAACTTTCTAGCATGTAAGTTAGCATTTTGCATGCTTCTGGCAACCATACAGCCGTATGGATATAAATCACCTATGGCAAGCCTTTTGAAGGTCCTGGGTGTGAAAGTTGCCAGCCTGTGCCAAAGCCTTTCCCATAATGACAGATTCCATCTTGGGCACAATGATCATGAAATGATGGATTTTTAAATTCTTGGAGAAGGAAGGAGAGGGGCCAGCAGAACTGTCTTGGACTTCCAGAGAGCTTGGCCCCCATCCTGAAGTGCAAAGAATCCAGAAAGGCAGAACATTCTCCAAGAGTGAAATCTTAGGTGCAAAACCAAGCTGTGCCATGTGCCATAAGGTGGTGAGGAAGAATGGCCTAGCTGAACAGAGAACTCAGACAGGAACTCAGAGAGAAAAGATGTTATGACCTTTGGAAGAAAGGGAAGGAAACTCAGAACAACAAAGATAATGTGTGCTTATGGGGAATACAGTTAGAAGGGTCAAAGCACAACCAAAATTTAATCTGACTACTGCCCTAAAAGACAATAAAAATGTTTCTCTAAACGCATAACCAGCAAAAGGAGGGCTAAGGATAATCTCCATTCTTTATTAGATGCAGAGGAAAACAGTGACAAAGGACAAGGAAAACATGAGGTGCTTAAAACTTAAAGTGATTAACAGCAAGACCAGTCATTCTCAAGCTACTCATCCCTGTGAATCAGAAGATAGGAATGAGGAGCAGAATGAAGTCACCACAATCCAAGGGGAATTGCTCAGTGGCCTGCTCTGCCACTTAGACACACTCAGGTCTATAGGGCCAGGTGGGAGCTGGTGCAACTGTTCACTGAGCCACTTTCCGCCATTTACCAGCAGTCCTGGCTAACCAAGAAGGTTAGGGGAAATGCAATACCTGTCTACAGGACTGGAAGGAGGATCTAGGATCTAGATCTAGGATCTAGGATCTAGGAGGATCTAGGCCTGTCATCCTGACCTTGGTGCTGGGGAAGCTCATGGAGCAGAAGATCCTGATGGCACTCAGGACAACCAGGGGATCAGGCCCACACAGCAAGGGTTTGTGAAAAACTGTGACCAATTGGGTCTCCCATGACAAGGTGTCCCCCTCAAGTGGATTAGGGAAAGCCTGTGGATATTGTCTACCTGGACCTTAGTCAAACCTTTGATGTTGTTTCCACAGCATTCTCCTGGAGAGACTGGATTCCTATGGCTTGGATGGGTGCACTCATCTGCGGGTAAGAAAGTGGCTCAATACATTGCCCAGAGCATGGGGGTGACTGGTCACCTGGGCTGCTCCCCAGGACTCAGGTTTGGAGCCAGTCCTGTTTAATGTCTTTATCAATGATTTGGATAAGGGCATCAAATGCACCCTCAGGCAGTTTGCAGACAACAAGCTGGGTGGAAGTGTTGATCTGCTAAAGGGCAGGAAGGCTCTGCAGAGGGATTTGAACAGGCTGGATCTATGTACCATATGGATATGAAGAATGTGTAAAGAATATTTATACACAGGAGAGCTTAAATTGGAAAAATTCAAATGAATGTTTGTCAGTTAAAGCTCAGCAGAATCAGAAGAATAATTAAAACTTCAGCATACTATAGAGTAGGAATATGTGGTCACTGAGCTAGGAAACGAAGTATCTTAATTAACATGGCTAACAACAAGTCATCGTAGCAATGTTTTATTTTGAAATCTGTATATTACCAAACCATACATATGTAAAGTACTCTGACCTTAAGATCATGATTTACCTTCTGAAAAATTATTCTCAGGATCAAGAGCAGAGAGATGCAAAGATTTTAATTGTTTTTCAAAGTTTGCATCTACAAAAATAGATTCCTTTCTGAGCATGAGTGAATGAATGCTGTGCCCTTCTCTTTTCTAATTAAACACCTCCCACTTCACTTCTGCTCTGCCAGCTCAGATGAAAGTTTGGAAAACAACAAAGAAGCAAACAGCAAGAAAGTAAAGAAAAATGGAAAGATGGGATAGGAGATAAACAGTAATGAAATATATGGGAATCAAAGGCACCAAAGTTGCACCCCAATTTATATTAGGGTGATGAGAGACCATTAGGGTCAATGGTGCTTTTCAGAGTGTATCTATATGGACAGAGTGGAAAGGTACCTTCCCCTACCTTTTCTTAGCATACTATTTCAGAAAGATCTGTATATGTTCAAAGGGATTTTATATTTCATAAGTTATCATATAGTATTTTCATACCTTAGACAAGGCTTGTAATACTTGATACCAGCCATAAATTAGATATTGTCAAACACACAAATATCAGAAATTCCCTGAGCTTCATAATGCTAAAAGAAGCAGAGAATAAGTTTTCTTAAACTTTTCCCTGTAGCTCCACTACTGATCAGTGTCATGGAGAAGATACTGTTCTGACTCTCTGTGGACATCCTCATGTGTAATAGATTGCTTGTACTTTAAAATGGAAGAGAAAGATCACTGAGTTTTAAATGCTACAAGCAAATATTTCCTAAGACATTTGCTGTGGATATTGATTTAATTGTACATGAAATACAAATCCTCACTGAAGATGAATTATTGAAGAACAGAAATTATGACTTGATATGAATTTTGAAGTAGAGCTTGCACAGGTCTTAAATGTTCCATCAATTTTAATTGTGATTTGTTTCAAGGACAGAATCTGATCAAAGCAGGTGGATAAGGGTGGATAAGGGAGCTCGAAAACTTAAGTGTTGTCTAATCTTTGAAAGGGTAAGTGTAGATTAAACATCACCTCAAGGTTGTGCAGACAAACAGTAGAACTTTCAGATACATAGCTGCATAGTAATAATTAATTCATTTAGTTCATGTTTAGTTCAGTTTTGATCTGAGTTAATGTTAACTGAGTCTTGTTAATCCACATAAACTAAAATAGAAACCTGTTGACCAGCCTGTTCTGCTTTTGTTTGCTCTATTTTTAGAACTCTCAGACACTGCTTCTGATTCATGCACATTAAAACATGAAGTAATACTGTGGTATATAGTTGGATTGTTCCTAATACTTAAAAATCAAGTAATCTCTGTGCAATTTAAATGTGACTACATTTCAGTAGAGCTTTGACTTAATTCATCTATGCAAAATGGCATAGTAAATTTTAGCATATGCCTGTGTCTATTTAAGCAACATAAATAATTTACTGAACTAAAACTTCTTCATGGTTCTTCATCACTATTGGTTAATAAAGTAAATTTAATTTAATTAATATGTCATTTTAATCATTATGGAAGAACTTTGTACTTTATAATTCATACATACTTTATTGCAAGTATATGTCAGAGCAAGGTCCAGCAGATTAAGCAGAGTGTGAAATAAGGAATAAGCAATTTTGCTGCATTTGAGATAGAACATTGGACCTGATTTATTCACCTGGACTTAAGTAGCAGGCAAAGTACAACTGTAGAGGGTGAGCCCATTCGTGTTCTTTGCCAGTCTTCACTTGAAAGAGGTAAGGTGCCTGTCCAGTGCTGTGTTCCTTGGATGCTTTCTTAATGATTTTTAATACCAATTCCTATTCTGGAATTCAATTTATCTTTAAATCAATTTTCAATATTTATGCATAAACATAAGTGAATAAAAAAGGTTGACTCATTCAAAAATACTAAAAGAAAACCAAAACAGTTAAAAAATAACTCCAGATCCAATTTCAAATTTCATGAAAATCAGGATTTGGGCTTGTGGATTAGGGTTTGATTTAAAGTAATTTATAATTTAATACTTCATAGTAGCAACAATAATCAAAGCTTTAGGGAAAATGATACATGACAGTAGAAAATGCAAGTATAGCAGAATTTAAATGCTTAAAGGGAAGCACTGTGCAAAATTTCATGGAAGGTAATTTTTCAGTTTATTATGATCCCAACATCAAGTGACCAACTTTGCATAAAATGTCAAGTTATATTTTAATAGTAAATCATAGTTATTACTGAATAGTTTTAGGCAAAATAGAAAATTCTGGTTTGCTGGCTTTGTGTATGGTAGGCACAAAAATTAACTGTCAAACCTGAACTTTATTACAATGTTTTATCTTGGACATTTTTTTTAAAAAGTGCTGAAATTTTTTCACTCTGGAAAACTCTTTGCTAAATCTGCTGCTAGGTCATTAGATTTATAAGGAATGTGGCTTTGTTGCAACATAAGCCACTGTGGAGAAGGTACTGGCCTCTGCAGACTCTGTGCTGACACTGGCAGGAAATAAGCCCTGGCCAAAGAGCTTTCTTGCTAGATCTATTTTCTGCCTTCAGCAAAGCCACTGTGGGGAGCTCAGTCCTTAAAAAAAAAAAAAAAGTTTGGTTTGAGTCTAAGTAAATATATCCTTTGAGAGTATAGGAAACAATTGTTTACCTTATTCATTCTAAGCTGTTGACAGAAACTCTTCTTCAGAGAATCTGGGATTTGCCGAAGTGAGGACCCAAGGATTTAGTCGGGTAATACCCTAAGTCTTCTACTGAATGTACTGAATGAAGTATTAATGTACCCCAAAATACGGATAAAATGAGGATCAAAGCTGTTTCAGTTTACTGAACTGAATTGAATATTGTTGAACTCAATTGAATATTGAATATTGAATATTTGTTGGTTTTTAAGAGGCTAAAGAAAAGTTCTTTTGCTTTGTTTACTGAACTTTTAAAAAAAATCTAATTGAAACCTGCGACCTGTTATTTTAACCTCTAGATAGCAATTCACAAAATAGCATAGTCCAGGTTAAGTGAGTTCTCCAGTGCATGGAAACCTTTCCAGCACTACGAGAACCATGTCTCCGAGTACTGTTTGAGCTACAGACAGTCAGCAGAGCTAATGTTACTGTTTCTGTCCTGTCAACCATTCGTGTCTCTATTTCACTATAGTCTGGATTCAGGGAATAAGAAAAATTCAACTCTGATAATTAAAAGTAGTGCTTTTTCTTTTGTCACTACATTACTCTTTATGGCTTTTTGGCACACTCAAAATTGCATTATGCTTTATTGCTTAACATGGCACAAGGTGACAGGTGAGAGATGTTCTGAGTGTCTCAGCACAGCACTCTATGTCAGAGAAACTATTGATTTGTCAGAAATTAGGTCTGAGGCATCAGGAAAGGAGATGTCCTTCAAAGATGGGAGAAGCCAACTTTGACAGAGGCTTGCTGTATTGAAGCTTGGTAGTCCAAAACCTTTCTCCTTCTGGACTTTTGTACTAGAAGTCATAAATAAGTCATAAATATTGCCATTTTCAGCTCCAATCTGTGTTACAGTTCTGTATTGCTGCAGGAGGACTGACGCAAAAGGAAGATGCCACTGAGGAGCTCAGCAGGATTCCTGCTGCTCTTGCTCTCTCAGTGCACTGTGTCCCTGGGCACCAAAGAGGCAATGGTCCTGGCTAATGCCCACCTCCTCCCCCAGAGAGAGTATGAGAGACTGGGAAACGCCAATGAAAAAGGTACTCATGAAGACAGTGAGTAATTTGGAAGTGTTCTGTGTTTTACTTTATTCCTTTGCTGTAACATTTTCAACCAACATATAATAAAGTTAGCCCTGGAAGAATAATTTGCAGTATGAACATGTCCTGCCACAAAGTCTTGAACCTGTCTGTAGAAGCTGGTCTACTGAGAAGGGCAACTGTGAGGGTCACTGTGTGTATTGCTGGCTTGGACATCACCATATAGATTACTTAAATAATCCTTCTATAATATCTTGACATCACATTTGGAGTCAGGTAGGCTGTGTCTACCAGGAAAATGTAATTTTTATTGAATTTTTCTCACTGAGATAATAAAATTGTCAAGCTGTTATTAAATACAAATATTTCACAGTCTAATGATATAAGGACATACCTTTCAACTCTATGGAGAAGTGAATGATTTCAATTCATAAACATATTTCTGAGTAACAGAACAATGAATACCATCCTTCTCTACAAAAGGAGCTCTCTCTCTGTAAGTTCATACATATGTAAATGTATATTTATATAAATTTTGTTCTGGCTCTTAAGAAACCACAGAATCAATTGTAACCAATTGTAAAATTCAGAGCATTTTTTCACAGTCTCAGAGATGCTTGATATTATACTAGAGCATGAAGTTACCTTATAAAGACGTTACATTTAAAAAACCCCAGCAAATATTTTAGCCCAATAGAGAGGATCAACCCAAGCCTTATATGCTATTTTTGTTATCCTCTGAGTCTACTGGATAAGCAACAAAATGGAAAAGCAGTTTCACCCGTCTTCCTGATACCAGTATTGAGCACTGAACAGAATTGTAATTCTACCTGCAAATCCATAAAATTTAGCCTGGATTTGAGTGAAAAGAACTCATTCTAAGAAAATCCTCAGATGTTTATAAGCTTTATATTGACAGGAAATATGATTTAATATCTCCCTTTTATCAATGAACACATGGCATACATTTCAGAATTTAATACAAGGATGTTAGAGGTGCCTGAAGTATAAATTGGTTCAAGAGAAATTGATTTGTTCATTGAGGAAAAGACTAGGCCTAGTTATTACACTCAATTGCCCTACAGATGGCAGAGGGAATTGCAGCTTGCTGTCTATTCAGTCTGGAAGAACACTGGTGGAAAAGGAATGATCTGCACATAGTTTTTGGCTTTTCAATCATATTTCTGTCATAAATACAAAAGCATACTTCTGTTTTATGACAGAGTAACAAACCATTTTCTGAATTTCTGAAAAATTCCTGCATGTTCCTCCTGGAAATCTTCCCCCTTTAGCTGAATAAATGGCCATCAGCTGCAATGAGGTCAGTCAGCTTCCAGTCTGAAGAGAGTCACTCAGTCACTCTAACGGTTAGAAATCAATTTCTGAAATTTATTATTTGAACAGAGCTTACTTTTTTGTGTGTGGCTTTTTTTTTTTTTTTTTTTTTTTTTTTTTTTTTTTTTTTTTTTTTTTTTTTTTTTTTTTTTTTTTTTTTTTTTTTACTCAGACTATCCAAGAGATTGTTTTGAGATTTTACAGCATTCCAAAGGAAATTCCAGAGATGGCCTTTACATCATCCAACCAAAAGAGGAACCAATTGTTGTCTTTTGTAACATGCAGGATGGTGGCTGGACAATAATCCAGCACATTACAGCCAACAGCACTGTCGACTTTGACAGGATTTGGCAGGACTACAAATATGGATTTGGCTCGGTTCATGAGAACCACTGGTTAGGAAATGAATACATGCATCAGTTAACTGGCGGCTCGGTGCAATATATACTTGGAGTTAAACTTGTGAATCTAAATGCTGAAGTCAAATGGGGACAGTATGAGCCATTCCTGATTGAGGGGGAAGAGTGTCAATATCGAATCAGGGTTGGTCTTTACAAAGGCAATGCCACTGATGCACTGACCCTGGACACGGAAGCTTATCTCCATGACAACCAGAAGTTCACCACCAAGGACAGAGACAACGACAACTACTTTATGAATTGTGCTAAGCTGGAACTCAATGGCATTCCCGGGGGAGGCTGGTGGTACGATGCATGTGCTGGGGCAAATCTAAACCGCAGGAATGTAATATACTGGCAAAAAGACTGCAGCAAGCAGCACCCCTGCAAGTTTGCATGGATGATGATCAAACCCATCGAGCACCACCAGTCACTCCCTACAAAGGCCTGCCCCTGTCAGAAAGTTGAACTGTAGACAAGCCATGTGTATTTGACAGGAACTCTTTTTCAAGTGACTAAAGTGAACTCACTGACTGAGTAATAACCCTAAGTAACCCTGACTGGAAATTTAAATTGGGCCTCTGGAAGGGATTTATGATGACATATTGTTCAGGACTGGAATATGTCACAGTAATTTGCCAATCACACAAGTGAGAATCTGTAAGAAATTGAGGTCTTTACCACAAGATTTGAATAACCAGAAGATTTAAATAATTCATTTTATACTATTTTAGCCATAAGATAAGTCTGGTATGAAATCTAGGATATGATGTCTTGTACAATATATACATGAATAAAAATGCATTTCAGAAGGTTTTGCTCTGGTGTTAATGTTCATGATTGATTGCACATCTGTAATTGCACATCTGTAATTGCACATCTGTAATTGCACATCTTCATATATCATGCAGGGAAGAAATTTTCAATTAAATACCTACATTTACAAAATGCATACTGAAGAGTATTGTATATCATAGGGCTCCAACAGGCCTTTTCTTTCTAACTTTAGTGAATGGTATTTTAATATTTAAAATTGGAATTAACCTCATTTCCCATATCTTCTTTCCCCCTTCATTGACTCTTCCTTTATCTCTACTTTTTAATGATCTCATATACAGTGAAGTATTCAGCACAGGCTTTTCTTTTCTGCCTTCATTTCAGAGCACTCAGCACTTATGGGATTGTCAGATTCTCCATTTGAAGTCACTGATCCAAAGCTTACAACCCCTCTGAATTTTTCCCCCAAGAAACTCAGTTAATACATTTTAAAAAAGATCAAACTGATATTGCAATTGTTTATTTATTCCTCCATTTTTACTCTGAAGATTACTCCACTTTATTTACTATTATTTGACTGTTACTTCTCCCTGTTCCATGCTGTGCTTCAGCTTTTTTCTTTTTTTAATACCACTGTGAGGAGAGAATGTTGCCTTTATTTCACATTTAATAGTTTGAATTGTTTTAGGACTCAACCTTGATATCAATTAAACAGTGCCTTTTGTCTAATTATAAAATAAAATAAAATTTAATTATAAATTATTCTGTTTTAAAACAATACACAAAAGGATTTCAATTTTTATAACCTTGTTTTGAGACCTTGTTTTCTTTTACCAATGAGTTCCTTCACACTGTTATATATCATTGGAATAACTGAATGACAAGTGAAGAGTTTTTATTGTATTTACAAAATGTCAGAGTAATAATTAGATCATCAGGTGTAGTTTTTTTAGATATTTCAGTTAAAGGAACTCCACCAACAGATGCTGTCAAATTCCTGCTTTTTAATTTAAAATACTATTTATCATTTTCATGATAATTGCTTCAGAAAATAAATTCCATTGTGTTTTGAGAGGACCAAAGCTGTCATGATTGCTTAAGATGAGAAACTATTTTGGAAGCAGAAAAGTCAAGAAAGCAATTTTTAGTTTTCTTGATGCACTGCAGCATTTTCAGAGATACAGCTATGTGATGTGGGTGAGGCCAACATAGCACACATGCCAATTTTGCAGCATCTGATTTTTTTTCCCCTGAATTTGTGTTCAAAGACAGAAGTGTGATAGAAGAAATGGTTAGTACCTGAATTGAGTTTATATCATTGAGTCAATTTAATGTGGGTTCTGCATAATTCTATAAGGATGCCTCCAAAGCTGGGATGAGGATACAAGAATATCACCTGAGTGCTGCCAGTCTCACATGGCACTTGTTAGAATTCCTGGCCATATAGCCAGATGTTCACACACCTTCCAAAAATGTGTTTTTAATAACCATGATTTGGAAACATGGAAGGGAGAATCCACAGGCTGCAACTGATCATAAAAGGCAGATAACCTGCTCTGAAGCATACTCTTAGTATGTTCTAGAGGATTTTGGAGGTAAAGACTCTGCAAATAAGCTGTATGAATAACTTGGGCACCAGCAGACCAAATCCAGCTGCCCAGTTCCGGACGGACTCTAGAAAATACTTTAACTGGAGCCCTACAAACCTATGCACTGAATTCCAGTACAAAAATTAAATTTAAAATGTAATAAAAATTCATAACAAGAAGGCTACCAGCAAAAACCCTGAGACATTTAATCAAACTCAGGGACTGAGCAACATTCCAAACTTCTAAACAAAGTATGGATGGAAATGACTACTGAAGCTGGGTTAGGGACTAAGGAAGAAAATAAGTAAGACTATTTTAGACCATCCATCAGCATGGAACCTTTAGGAGTAGACTAAACTTTACTTCATAATTCCTTAACAAAAGACTATCTTAACTGAACAGATATTTTTTAATTCCATTGATGAACCTTCATCACCAGATCAGATACCCAGAGCAATGCTGAAGGCATCTGGCCTTCATCATTGAAATTACAGACTGAAACATGGGGGTTTCTATTCTACCCACTCCTAAGTTCTTTTGCCAGTCACATTTCTCCTATGCTCTCTCTCTTAGCCTTTCCTGATTTTACTGCCTCCTGCCATATGGGAAAGAAGGAGGGTCTTCCCAGAAGTAGTGGCTGAAACAAATTTATTTGGTCAAATAAATATCCTTCCAAAATGGGTAAGTATGACAGGGTCTAGAGCAAAAGGTTTCAGCCCTAAGCACCTGTGAATGGGAGGCATGTTCCACTTTAACCATGGAATCTCTGAACAATAGCAGGGAAATAGTTTTCTTTACCTCTACTTCTTTGCATTTTTCCTTATACTGCCAACTGCAGGAAATGTAACATACAATACCACATTAATAAACTCAGAATTTATTCAATATTTGTCTTTAAAAATAATTCAGTTTTCATATGAGAAAGTGCTTGCTTTTGTTTCTGACTTCCCAGACTTCCAGATAACCTTATTTATATGTATAGCCATAGATTTAAAAACACAACAAAGTGGTTTTAGGGGCTAGCTGACTAATGTTGTTAATTTATTGATGCAATACACTGTATCAAAAAATTAACAGTGTTAGCTGCATGGCCTCATTTTCTCTTACTAGAACTAACAAACAATTCTTTAGTCACTCTCATGTCTTTTGTGTTTCAGAAGGCATCAGGCCACAGTCAGAGTGGGGGGCTACAGAGCTGAATCCAGCCATGCTGCACAGCTGGAATCCCCACTGTACCCTCTCTCCACTCCTCCTCCTATAGCTACCTGATGAATTGCACACTAAAGGAGGCCTTATGGACAGCACACACTAAAAACAACTATCTGACCTCCACTACATCTAGGTTGCTGCTGCACCTAAGGATTAAAAGATATTTCAGCTTTGATCTTGGCATTGTAATCCAGGAATTCAGTGAAAGCTCCCCCAGTTTAAGAGGCCTACTGAAATGGAAGCCATCAGCAACCAGGGTCTGGAGGAGGACCTGCTACAAGAAAACTTCTGAAGGATTTGAAATGTTTGTTTTATTTGAGGAGGACTGACTTTGGTATATCAGCAGATACATGAAGAAACTACTGACATTTAGCAACCAATGGCAAAAATACTGAGTAAAAGGCAGTGCTTTTAGTGAGTGTAACAAAGACTGAAGTTCCTTCATCATAAAAAAATATATTCACCAGGATGGGAAAAACAATTGTAACACCATTCCTTTCTGAAACCACTAGTAGTCATAGATTATCATCTCCTGTTTAACAACATGATGTTATCAATTTTAAAAATATTTTATCACTTACAGGTAGCTATTAATAAAATCATAAACAAGAAGCTTATTAAAGCTCAAGGTTTTATGACACTCAACTGTCAAATGTATGTGGAAGAACATTTCTTAGATAGTTCAAAAGGCAACAATGGATATTTGGGGGAGACCACATAAGAAACAGAGCAGCCTCTTACTGACTTGATGAGGTTAAAGCCAAGTAGTAAAGCAAAAAGACACCGTATCATTTTCTAGAGGTAAGGGTTAGCCTGTGTTTCAAAACAGAGAAGCCACTGACTACCCAGCAGCTGCAGGAGCATTACATGAGATGTCCTTTGCTAAGCTCTTCACTCCTAAGTAGTTACAGAAAGTGCACAACTGTATCCAAGTGTTCTACATATGTTTAAAAATTCTGGGAACTCTTCCGAATATTTATCTACAAACCTAAATCATATTTGCAAAAAATGAATGTTAGTTGATAAATTATGGGGATCTGGAATACGGAGGGATGCCAGATCATATGAAAAGGGAAAGACAAAGTTTGTGAGAAAATTCAATACTTTAAAATATAAAAGGGGCTGGTCTCTGGAAAGCTTAGTTAGGGATGTGTATTTATGCATCTATATTGATGATACATACATATCTACATATATGTATGTGTATGAAATTATGTAAAACCAAAATGTAATTTTACAAAAAGCATTTCATTAGTCCATGACAATAATCAGTTACACAATCAGTAAAAATGTAATTGAAAGGACAGATAACAAGATAACAAGATTGTCCTACACTCCATAAGTCCCACAACACTTTAAAAGGTACAAAATACAATCAAGTACTAACTGATACTCTGATGAGGACCAAATTTGTCTTTTTGTGGTTTCAATTTTTTTAAAGAATAAGCATCCTACATAACAATAAAGTAATGCACACCTCTTTATATAGTTCTTGATATTTACAATGTACTCATGTGTGGCCATGTAATCTCTCACATGGTTAGGTGCTAGCAGCATAATTTGTGCATATATTTCACAATTACATTGAACCAACATTGTTGCATCCATCACTGTGTATTCTAATACATTTACTGAGCAGAGAGTCCATAAACATTTACAGAACATTCTTGATCAACAGATGTCAAAAACAACATAAAATACTCCATTTAATAAGAACCAATGTTTCATTTGAGCAATAACAGTGCAGCTAGCAGGAGCTGTTACTACCTCATAAATTTTGCCTTTAACTACAGCTTGTGCCCCTAAAAAGACACATTCATTTGCTGAAACATAGTTTACTGAATGACTGGTCTGACGTAATATAAAATAAATCCACCCTAGCAACCAATTTGTACATAGT